ACATCTTTGCATCATTAAAGCAAATGTTCCACAGCATAAACAAATGTAACACACTTAAAATAATATTCTACAACATTATGGCATTTTAAATTAGTTCTAATTATAGAGGGCATACTCACAGTAAAAAGTCTAATGAAAAGTAAGTGCTCCATTTCCACATTCCTAAGTTGCTTTCTTTGTATTCTATTACTCATCTATCACCAGCCTGCCTATTTGTAAGGTTCCTTCAAACATTCAAACAGAAGTCAAGTATGGCGGTGAGTGACTATTCCCACATTTGGGAGGCTGATGCAGGGGAGTCTCTAGTTTAAGGTCAGCCTGGGCTGTATATGAAGACCCTACTTTAAAAAGAAGACGAAACCACCAAGACAAATGGAGTCACGCTCTTCTGTCACCTTGCCGTCTCCACACTTAATGTATCAAAAGCACTGCTGTAACTCTATACACTATTGTTGTACTTCCCCCTCAATATGAACATATAGTAACATTGAACAATGCCAACACCCTTCTTAAATGATTTACTTATTGGTTGAGCAACACTCAATAAAGCATCTCTGTGTATGTGATTTCATGTACTTTTGCAGGTCTATCTGTGACATTGCAGAGTTTATCATTGTTCTAACTGGACTTCCTAACAAGCTTCTCCAACCTTGGAATCTCTGCAGTGATCAGAAGGCCCTTTGTTTGCTAACAAGTACCCTGGAGTTGGATGGGTCCCAGGCAGCTTGTAGATGAAGAATAAATGCTAGGAAGATCAAAGCATGACTAAAATTTGGACTTTGGCCCTGTTCCCAACCTCCAGGGAAGGAAAAGGGGCCCAAAGTTGAGTTGCTTACCAATAGCCAATGATGCAATCAACCACATCAGTATAATAAAGCCTTTATAGACTCCCAAAAGGATTTCATTGAGGGAGCCACTGGGTGGCAGAACACAGGGAGGTTCGTGGAGGGTGTGAACACTCGGGGCTGCTCCCCTTACTCTGAGCTATGTTCCTCTCCCATCTGGCTGTTCACCTGCAGCTTGGTAAAGCCTTTATAATAAGTGCTTGGTGTTTCCCCTGAGCTCTCCGAGCCATTCTGGCACATTGTGTGTACTAGCCACTCTTCTCACTGCTGCAGCAAAGCACCTGACAAAGGCAACTTGAGAAAGAAGGTTTTCTCTGGGCTCACGGCTTCAGGGTCATTCCTCACGGCTGGGCTGTCATGGCAGCAGGAGCCTGAGGCAGCTGGTCACAGAATCCCAGGAAGAAGCAATGAATGATGCTACTATGAGTGGGTTTTCTCCTCTGTGATAGTTTGAAAGAAAATGGTCCCCCAAGGGAGCAGCACTATTAGGAGGTGTGGCCTTGTTGGAGGAAGTGCATCACTGTGGGGGTGGGCTTTAAGGTCTCTCTTTCTCGAGCTTCACTCAGTGTGACAGTCAGTTGACTTCCTGTTGCCCGCAAGATGTAGGACTCTCAGCTCCTGCACGTCTGCCTGCATGCTGCCATGCTACCCATCCTGATGATAATGGACCGAACCTCTGAAACTATAAGCCACCCTCAATTAAATGTTTTCTTTATAAGAGTTTCTGTGGTCATAGTGTCTCTTCACAGCAACAGAAACCCCAACTAAGACATCCTCTTTAGGCTAGAACTATAGCCCATGGAATAGTGGTAAAGGGTGGACTTTACCACTTCAGCTAACCTAATCTAGAAATTCTCACACAGACATGTCTTCTCAGAGGTTTGTCTTCTAGATAATTCTAGATCCTGCCAAGTTCACAATCAAATTAACCACCACATTAGTCAGACTTCATGAGGGAATCATGGGAAACCCAATCTATAGCCCCAGTTGGTTAGATGTAAAGACTGTATTGATTGTGACTGGCGTCTGAGCAGGGTAAGTTTGTGGGCTGAGGCCTTAAGTTGTGGGATTGAATGCTACCTTCGCACCAGAACTGAGAGGAATGAGAGGACACTCAGCTGGTGTCCTCTCCAGAGTTGCTTTGCCTGTGTGGAAGCAGCCGCCTAGCTTATTTGTCAGAAGGTACTGCTGACCATGAAAGAGCAGGGAAAAGCACGCTGGCCTTCCCTCTATCGCTACACTTCAGAATTAGGCTCTTGGTAGTAAACCGACTATGATTTCTGTCCGTGGAGTACCTCTTACTTAACAAAGATTATTGGGGTCCAGCCCCTGCTATAGTCTTCTCCCAAAGTTCCAGAAGAGATGCTACCAGCAGTGGATTAATCTGAGGGATACACGAAACTCTTTAGTCCATCACTTTATTCTTCTAAGTCAAAATCTATCTACACAGCTTCAGTTCTGTTCTCATACTTAGGTCCTCTCTGTCCCTTCCTCTCCTGTCCTCTCAGTGTTTAAATTCCTTCCATCTTTGTTTACTCTCCTCTCTCTCTTGTCCAGTTTTGATCCACAGGCGATACACAAGTCTGCTCGTAGCTAGGAAGCCTGCGTCAATGCTTGATGTACCTGGTGTGTGAAAAAGCCCTTTTGTTCAAAGTTAATTGTTAAAGGGGAAGTCTAGAAATACCACTAAGGCTGTGAGAGGAAGAAGGGTTAAGCTTAATTTGTACAAGAAACAAAACCTTGTACCGACCTGACCTTGGCAGTTGTCTCTGTATAGATATTTACCTTATATCAGGAGACCTGCGGGTGGTCTGGAATGTTTATCTGTCTGCAGTCTGTCCTTGGAATTGAGAAATATCTCAGAAAAAAAATGCTTTTGTCCGGAGATGGCCCTGGCCTGGATGCTTGCTAATGGAGATAATTACAGAAGGCAGATATCTGAGTCTAATGCTACTAAGAAAAACAAATGGAAAAAGGAAGTCTTGCCTGTGTCGCAGTTGGGGAAATATCCAAATACCTCAATTGTATAGGGGAAATAGTGCCCAATGAGGGACCAAACACACTGTTCTAGGAATGGAAAAGCTACAATAGCACATGAGAAATTCATAGCAGGAAACGGCTAATATTCAAAAGCCAGTGTCACCAATACTCCTTAAGACTTGGTTTTACCCTCTGGAAAGGCCCTTGGCTATAGTCTACTATATTTCTGTGACCCGCAGCGGGTGCTGTTTTTGGAATGAGAACATGTCCTGCTGTGACCTTCCCTGCCCTTGTTCTCCTGAGTCAGGTCAGCACCACTGCTGATTTCATTTCTACTACTTGCCCTAGGAGCCTCAGTATGGACCACGGAAATATGTGCCCTCTTCTCGTGGATGCTCTTTTTCCTTTACTCAGCCTCCAGTCCCCCTTAAGCCAGAAACCACACTGGCTTCATTACCAAGGTGCTCTGTCAGGTCTGGAGCCAGATCCCAGCAACTCCGTGGGAATGACAGGGCTAAGAGGGAGCCAAGTGTGGCATTGTCTTGCTTTTTTGAGGTGGGAGGAGAGCTGAGTTCCCTGGAGTCATCTGTGCTGTCAGCAGGAATATTGTGGAGTGCCAGTAGCATGCTGTGTTCAACCATAACTTCTATAACATCGTGGGTATTTACATTTTAATTTTGGCTGGTAATTTTTCCAGCCTTTACGTAAGAATTCCTAACAAGCCAATATACATTAATCTGAAATCTGCCCCATTAGATTTATGAGAGTTTTACTCCTTTAAAAGAAATGACGCATCATCAAAGTACTCAGGATGCTCTGTGGAGCTGTGATGTCCTGGACGCCTGACATTTTCTTCTGTAGCAGGGTATGTGCAAACCTCCCCTGCTGTGTGAATCTTGGGATGTTTCCCATCCACTGTGGAGCGTAAGGGAGCATATTTGGTCTCTCAGTCCCTGACAGCTAAGGCTAGTCAAATGTTCCTATTTGAAACTTGAATTCTTGATCCTGTGATAAAAAACATAAAGGGACATTCTTTTAAACTTCATCCTGGTGCCAGAGTCTCCAGAGGCATGGGCTTCTAGCAGTCATGGTGGTGAATTCAGTGACAGAATACTTCTCTGCTACCTGAAAACATCACCATCAGTCCTTCATCTGCTTCCATTGCCCAGACACAAGAACTCCGATACACACACGTGGTGGTTTTGAAAGAAAGTGGCCCGTAAAGGGAGTGGTACTACTAGGAGGCATGGCTTTATTGGAATAGGTGTGGACTTGTTGGAGGAAGTGTGTCACTGTGGGGGTGGGCTTTGAGGCCTCATATATGCTCAAGCTTCACTCAGTGTGATACACAGACCGCTTTCCTGTTGCCTTCTGATCAAGATGTAGTCAGCACCATGTCTGCCTGCAAGCCACAATGTTCCCCATCTTGATAATAATGGGATTAAACCTCTGAACTGTTAGCCAGCCCTAATTAAATGTTTTTCTTGTAACAGTTGCCATGGTCATGGTGTCTCTTCACAGCAACAGAAACCCTAACTAAGACAATATGAAAATAAGCAAACCCATCTACACAGAATGTTGGAATGGTCCATTCCACATCTGGGAAGACCAGTAGATACAGCTGAAGTATCAGGCACCGATAATCAATGGTCTGTCTTCAGCTGTCCCTCAGAGGGGAACTGAGGACAGGGGTCATGGAGACAGTGTTGTAAGTGGCCAGTGTCTCAGTATGGTTATGTGTGGTTAACAGGCACGTCCTGCTCAGGTAAAGCCAGACCATCACTGGTACCTCAGTTACCTTCAGCTTCCTCACTCAACCCATCAATTTTCCTGGAGAAGAGGAAAACAGGGAAATCCCAAGGCATCCCCCTGCAAGGTTCTACACCCTAGGGAATGTCTGTGCTCATATGTCAATGGCAGGTAGAGAAACACAGGGCGCAAGCTGACAGCTAATGCTACCCGGAGTCCATTCAATTCTCTAGATGATGGTTCTGTGGACACATGCTACATCGAAAGTGGGAAACTTGAACTGTCATTTATTCATGTGTGTGATGTGTGTCCGACACCATCTTAACTATGGAAACTCAAATGCAAATAGAAGTTTTGCTTTAGGGAGCTCTTGGTTGGCCGAAGAACAGCTAAGCCTGCATTGTGAGATTACCCTACTTTCTCAAGTGAGCAGGAGCCTTGGTGTTGCCGAGGGAGCTGTAGCAGAACCCAAAGCAGGCCTGAAGCCTCTCCACCCACCTCCACTTGGGCAAACGAAGCAGTTACCAGGTAAACGTGAGTGGGAGGCAGGGTAGTTCGAATTCTTAAGAAGCTGAGCTTTGGAGTAACTTGCACATGCCCGAGAGAGTAAATCATAGCCATGTGTGTACGCACACATGCACGCTGCACAGCAAAGAGAAAGCGCCATTGTCAGTCCTCCAATGATGGCAAGAGACAGAGCTGAACTGCCCCGACGGCTGCGTGCGTCCTTGACCCTAGAGGTGATCTGATTAAACTTTAAAATAGGAGACGTGGCTACCCAGCTCAAGTCTATAATTGCCTGGCCACATCTGTTACTAATAACGGTCAAGCCGCCGTATCCCGAAGGAAAGGAAAACACAGCCTGCTGAAGCCCTTTTCCCTGGTGACCTCCCACAGGAGCGCACTGGAGACTGAAGTCGCTGAAGACATGAGACACACGTGAAAGGTGCTGCCACATGTCCCAGCTCCGGGATGGCCAGGCCCCGGCTGAAGCTTTGTTACTTCTCCCAACCCTGTTTCCATTCAACCAGGTAAATAGTCGTGACTGGCGGGAAGCGTTCCCTAGACGCAGAGCATTTCCTAAAAGGGCCAAACCTGTCATTCCGTCTGTTCTGTCTTGTTGCTGTCACAACCCTGTGAGCACAGGGATCCTGAAAACAGGGATCCGATCCTGGCTCCTCTGCTTAATTACTTTTGTCATGCAAGTCTCCTTCTTCATCTGCGCAATGGGTATGGTCGCAACGATACCCCTCAGATTGGTATGCATCTAATGTGTGTTTTGTGGCTTTTTTTTTCATTTAACATTTAATATCCAGCCATATCATTTCATCTGGATAGCTTTTATTCTTAAAAAAGATGACTGCATGGGGGGACTGGCAAAATTGCTCAGTGGGTAAAAGTACTTGTGCTGTGTGTGTGGGGGGTGTCTTTCTGTACACTGTGGATATGTGTTGCTACCATTGGTTAATAAAGAAGCTGTGACGGCCTATGGCAAGGCAGAATAGAGCCAGGTGGGGAATCCAAGGAGAGAGACAAGGAGAAGAAGGCGGAGTCAGGGGAGATGCTGAGTACTGCTGCCTGGGGAACAAGATGTAAGGACACACAGGTAACACCATGAAGCCTAGAGGCAATACATAGATGACTAGAAATGGGTTGGATTACATTGTAAGAGCTAGTAAGAAGCTTGAGCCATAGACCAAACAGTTTATAATCAATATAAGCCTCTATGTGTTTATATGGGACTAAAGGGCTGGGGGACTATGCAGGACAGGAAAACTTCCGCCTACATGCTTGATACATACATACCATACAAAGCCTGATGACACTGAGTTTGATCCCTGGTACTCAGGTAGTGGAAGAAGAGAATTGACTCCCACAAGTTGTCCTCAGCTCTCTAGAGGTGTGACACCCAGACACACACACACACACACACACACACACACGCACACGCACACGCACACGCACACGCACACGCACACGCACACGCACGCGCGCGCACGCACATACACACACAGAGTCACAAAATAATAAATATAATCTTTAAAAATGCTTGCAAGCATTGCTTTGTATTCAGCTATCACAGTGGATTGAACCAATCCTCTGCTGGTGACAGTCTGGATTGTTTCATTTTATTTTTCCTACCATAAACCAACAGTAGCATTGTGCAGTGTTTTGTAGACATGCATGCACATATCTACTGGAGAATGTTCTGAAAGAGTAACTCACAGGTTATACTCATCATAGTGTAAAGGACAGTGTGTCCAGTTGTCCTTCTGAGGTGTGGCATTAATTTAAAATCCTATATAACACGTTTGAGTTCAGACTGCTTTTTCCATATTTAGGTGATATTGGATAAGCAACCTTGATTAAGTGTTATTATATTTTCTCTTCCTTTATAAAGTTTACCAGTTAGATTGAGTGCTGTATTTATGAGATTGAGGCCACATTTGATGACATATCCTTAAACAAAGGTATATCTTGGCACAACTTATGAATTACATAAAGGCATGGAAGAAAACAGATACTCAGGCAATGGACCACCAAGATGCAGCCAGGACTGTCACTGGGTGCCTCAGAGACTAGCATGAAGACACAGGGCTTGAAAAGACTTGAGAGAGTCCTGCATTAATGATATGAACTGTCCACGCAGTGCCTTATACGGTTCGTATTTCATTCATTCAGAGCGTAGATCAACTATGCTAAAAACACAACACAGGTTCATACACCAGGCATCAAACACAGATGTCGGCCCTTCCTGAATGGTTTATGTGTTTACTCTTCATATAAATGGAAAAAAAATTACCATTTTAAAACACATTAACATGTAGGCTTTATCCAATTAACGTATTCCTCGCGGTTTTTATTCTTAATTCTATCAATCAACTTTCAAGTCCTTTTCAACAACTTCATCACAAGTCACTGAACAAAGCTGCCAGATCTTTGGGAATGTTTCAGCTTTCCAAATGTCAGTGTGCTAAACTCAGGATCCCAGCTTCTAGTAGTTCCTGCAGCCTGGTGTATCTAACATGCTTGCAAAAGAGTTTATGAAGACAATGGTATATGTGGCAATTGGCAATGGTATATGTGGATTACTAACCCATCTGTAGAAAGGCCAGGTGTGTGGAGAGCTGTTTTCATTGAGATAAAGGTGGCTATTGAACCACCCAACACCCCCAGGCCACTGGCTTCCCCAGCTTCGTGTGGGTGCAGCTGCCTCTTAGGCAAGAGTGCCTGAAAGTTGCTAAATATGGTAAGGGAGCCTCGGGCAAAGTAAGGAATTAGGCAGAGACTAGAAGAAGGAAGTTTGTCTAGTTTATGGTAGAAAGGAGTATTAGAGTCCTTTGTTGCCAGCATAGTGGCTCACCTGTGATCCCAGCACTTAGGAGGCAGAGGCAGGGGAATTGAATGTTCAAGGCCAGCCCGGGTTACATAAGAAGACCCAGTTTCTGAAAACCAAACCAAACAGAACCAAACCCCAAATCCCAAATAGAAAAAGCAAACTAGCTTTTATAAAGCCCCCATCAACAGGGCATTAAGGCAGAGGGACAGGACAAGGGCTGTTCTCCCTCAACAGAGAGAAGTACTGAACCCATTTCATCAGGGAGTAGAAATCAGGAAAGAGCCAATCTGTGGGGGAGAAAAGGGACGTGATTCAGGCCAGTCGGCAATCCTCAGCAATGATGACTCCCAAGAACTCCTCTTGGCTTCGTATTGGGCCCGTGACTTAAGCTGCCCTTTGACTCCAGTGTCCTTTGTCCAAGTGTGACAATATACCAGCCCAAGGTGACATGTGCTGCAGCCTCCACCCTGGGTGCGGCCTCCGGGAGCAGTGTGAATTCTTTCGGACAGGCAGAGCGTCCTATTGTGCATTCTTCAAGGCATGTTTGCGGGGCTTAATTACTTCTCCTCATACCATCACCACCGGAGATCCGGAGATCGGCGGCACACTAGCAGGCAGATGGTAATCGCTACAGTCTCTCTACGGAGGGACCTTAGGGACAAGGTTAGAAGTCAGGAGGGAAGGACAGTGGTGGGGATGTTTTGAAACTGTTGTTTACACAGTGTTCTTTTTTGTAAAAGATGAAACCTCAAATGTGTTGTCCCCCAGCCCCCGCCCTGATACCACCCATGTCCCTTAGTACCTGTGACGTCACAGGGAGGAGAGGGCAAGCACTCAGGCACCAGCACCAGCCCCCTGCTTGGCTCCTTGCTCTTTCTCCCAACTCCCTGTACAACTTCTGATCCCATGTTCCTCACAGACTCATGGGAAACTTGGGGTTGAAAAGGATCTTAGAGAGTGTCCGGTTCAACCCTCCGGACAAAGAAGGTGCAAAGCAAGCAGACATCCGAAGGCAGAAAAACCCATCCTGGAGGATGCCTGGTAACGGGAGAGACAGTTTTCAGATGTGAAAACCAGGCTCAATGAATTTGAGAATGTATGTTTGGGGTGGGGGCGGGGCTCATTTTCTGTTGCTCTCTCATTTTTATGATAGTATATAGGGCACACAGTTAAATTTCATTTAGCACAGCTAATTATAATCCTCTTGAAAAAGTCATAAAGAGAATTTGGCAGCTAAAGGAACAAAGTCTAAAAGGAAGAAAATAAGGCTGATACATGCAAGGTTTTGGTTTTTTTTGTAATCCTTTGGAGGAGTGAAAACCACACTTTTTGAAGATTAGCTGTGGGCAGCGTTGGCATTTCTGGATTCATGGCACACGCATTCACACTTCTGTATGTAAGCTGCGTGCGCTCTCCAGGAGCCATCTCAACTTTGTTTCCCCACGTCCTTCTGACCTTTGGGGCTCCTTTTGGTTTTTATCTCTTTGTCACCCTTGGGCTTTTGTGAGAGTGTCATATCACTTGATTGATACTTTCATTATTATTATTTTTTTTCTCTTTCTCTGGCCAAGGCTCCTGTAGTGCACAGGGTTCAGCGGGCATTTTAAAGACTTCGACATTCAAGCACACAGGTTTCGAATGGACACAGTTGTGAAGAGTGGAATTGTCCATATTCGTGGCCAACGGCTTGGCTCCACGTTATGGGAGGAAGCTGGGCTCCAGCTGACAGATCCCCAAAGGGAAGATCTTACTTACAAGCAGCACATCTGGCTCATTCTGCAGTTGTTGATCTGAACATGGGGGCTTAATGGATTTCATCTACAGCCAGCCACCCTCGGTGTTTTGTTTTTCTTTTCTTTTGGTTTTTCAAGACAGGGTTCCTCTGTGTAGACCTGGCTGTCCTGGATCTCCCTCTGTAGACCAGGCTGGCCTCCAACTCTGAGATCCACCTGCTTCTGCCTCCCAAGTGCTGGGATCAAAGGTATGTGCCATCCCACCTGGCTTCACACCTGATATTTACTAAGGCTTTGTTGCCCTGGTGCCCAAGTTTCTGAGATGAACTCATAGCAACCCACGTGCCATCTAGGTCTGTCTTCTTTCAGTGGTCATCAAGAATGCAAGAGACTGGTGCTTCTTGGGGTTTCTTCATCCCTGCGAGGATGCCATACCCAGGCAGCCTATGACCCACTCAATAACTGGCTGTGTGAGCTCTGTGATTCCTCTGTTCCAGCCTTTCTGCTCAGCTCCATTAGGAGGCAGAGAGGTGGTGTGTCGCCACTGGTACTAAAGTCATCCTTTCTGGGCTCCTCTGCTGCCACCTGCCCCTAACCACAATCTAATCAGCATCCAGCAGAGTGTGATGACACACCGGACTTTCTCAGTGACAGCGTAATGAAAGGGGGCCTTAACTCCTCTTCTTGTTTTCCCCATCTATCCCCTAACTTCGACTCCACCCAGTGTGAACTCACTCTGATAAATGATACCGTTTGCTCTCTCCATCCCTGGCCTGTTGAGATCTGGAAACAATTGGTTTGTCTGACACTTACTTCCACAGCTGAACTTGTCCAAATCAAACCGTGGTCTCTCGTGCTTTCTTGGCTGTTTGCTTTAAGTCTGAAATGGGCCCTGGCCTCACCATCTCCCTCCATCCTGTGTATTTTGTTTGTTTTACATGGGAGCGTGCCAATATAAAATAAAATGTCCAGTGAGGGCTCTGAATAGCCTAGAGGAAAAGGGGAGGAAAGATCCAAGAGGCCAGGGAAGAAGGATTGGCTCTCTTGGAAACTTCTGCCTAACAGGGCCTTGCTAGCCAATGGCCCAGGCCGGATGTCTGTGGAGCCATGGTCTAAATGGGCCTCATGTTCCTAGCAACCTGTTTTATGAAATATAGCCCCTCCCCCAATGGCCACAAGTTCTTTAATAATCTTTTCCTTTAAGATTTAAAAAAAAACAATCTTTAGTTTGTTTCATGGTAAAATATAGTTCAATTATTTCCAAATGTACAGTTTGTTGACATTAAGTACATTCATACAAAATAAGACCCAATTGCACATCATGTAGCAATCAACCCTATTTTTAGAACTTTCTTGTGCCAATGGAAACTTTGAACCTATTTAAAAAGAACACCCCCACCCCCGACCCCCGCCTCTCCTTCACCTGTAGCTTCTGTTCTCTCTCTGTGAAGCTGTGTGTTTTGGTGCCGAGACTGGGTTTGGAAGCCTGGCTTCTTTGACCGAAAACCAAAGCCTTATGGGCTGCTCTTAGGTTCTGGATAACACAGTGGACGGTGGGACGGATCCTTGAACAATCAGGAAATAGCCATGATTCACCTGAGTTACTCATGCAGCTGCCAGCAAAACCTTGCATCATCTTCATGTCGTGCGAGCCTTCTAGAAGCTTTTCTTCTTCCGGTCATTTGTGATGTTTTCCAAAGTTTACTAAAAAGGTACCAGTTACCCTATTTGTGACTCTGACTCAACTTGATTCAAAAAAAATAAAAAAAAAAAATTGAGAAAAGGTCTGCCTGTGTGTAGGCCAGGTTGGCCTGGAACTGAGTGCTGGGGTCACCATATAGGTGTACACTATCACATCTGGCTAGTTGGTTTTTAAGACAAATTCTCTTTACTCTTAATTTCTAAACATAAAATACACATAAAGTCGATCATTTTAGCCAGTTTTAAGGACATAAAGTCTAATGGCATTGGACACATACACACTGCTGTGACTCCATCTCTAGTGGGACTCCTGAGCCCACTGAATAAGCCCCTCCCCGACTCCATGGCAGAAATGAGGTTCTGTACCTGGAGGAAGGAGATATGGAAAACTTTTCATTTCAGACATCCATGTTGACATGACTGGATCTGTGTACACAGACGTACAGCCCAGAGGGTTCCTAGCTAAGGGTTGCCTTCGTGATCTCTTTACAGTGGTTAAGGAAGCCACTTCAATACACGTGTCAATAGTGAGAGTTAGCATCTCAAGAAGGTACATGACTGCTACCTCCCTAGAGCCAGGGGATGCTGATTCAGAAAGAGTTCCTGGGGCGGTGGGAGGTAGGGTCTGGTCGCGTGGGGTGGTGGCCGCGCTTGACTTCACTTCAGAGTGTGTCCCTCTGGGCTTTTTTCAAAGCTTTGGAAGGAGCCGTTCGGATAGCCATCTCCATCTCATAGTCCAGGAATTTGTTATTATCTTCATTTATTTGTTAGAGAGAGGTAAGAAAGATGACTGTGTCTCCATTTTTGGTTCAGAACAAATTAAGATAAATGTGCAGATGTATTTAAAAACAAATGGAAGAGTCAGAACAGACAAGGATTCTAGACAGAATTCCCATTGCCATCATCCTTCCTGGAGTCCTGGAGTCTTTTTTTGACAACTCAGGGTTTGCCGCTGTTTTCCTCTGGCAGATACTGAACATCATTTGAACAATTCTTCACTTTAACTTAATCCCTTATGTGCTCATTAAAGACGGACCTTGTGCGCTCAGCATTTACCTTATCAAACCCCAAACCCTCAAGCACAGCAGGCCATCAGCCATAACTCCAGGGCCTTCTTGGCAGAAAGGAGACTATCTGGTTACAGCTTTCCGATGCCTTCCCCCACCCCCACCTTTCCTTCCCCAGTTATGGCCCCCTCCTTTCTTCTCAGCATCTGTGGGAATTCCCTCCAGGCTTCTCAAAGCAGAGCTCTTGAGCTTTGAGGAGCAGCTGTCGGAGGGTGGAAAGGAGACCCCACTTGGGACCTGAAGTCATGAGTTTGTGTTCTAGAAGTCCGTGACTTAGGAAGACTTCATGTTCTCATCTATGGACTGTTAGCAATGCTGCCTCTGAAGGGTGGCCATGGGCAGGAAGTGTAGAAGAAGCTTCCTGTGATACAATCCACGACTGTATGTAGCATGCTTTTGAATTCTGGCTCAGCCAGTAAGCAGTATTCCTCAATGCTCTCTCTCTCCCTGCTTCCTGCTTGAGTTCTTCCCAGACAACTCTCAATTATTGGGATGTGTCAGCCAAAGAAATCCTTTCCTCCCCAAGTTGCTTTTTGTTGTGGTATTTATCACAGTAATGGAAAGCAAATGAATACACTAAAGTTTAAACGCAAGTGTTCCACAGACTATGAATCTCATATTTCCTGCTGTGACATCTTTACCAACTATCAGGACCTCTGAATATGTATCATATGTCTCCATTAGCATTAAGTGTGGTGGAGGAGGATGCTAGCATCCATTTGACTTTTGCTGGTGTGATTGTTTAGTAAGTGTTGGTGTCCCCTCTGAGTGGAGAGCTCTGTGAGAATTGACACTGTATTTACTGTTGGTGACCAGGTCATCCCAGGGCTGAGCAGAATAAGGGAAGATGGTATCAATGTGCTGAATGTGTATTCAGGTCACAAAAACAGGCCTCATTCCAGGAGCTACTCAATATTCTATGCATTCCAGATTCCTAAGTCTTTACCTCGGCTGGAAAAGATGCAAATTCAGGTCAAATTAAACTCATATCTGAGCAGTCAAAGGCATAGATTTTTAGCTCAAATCCTGAATTTCTACTTACCATGTGATCTAAATAAGTTTATTAAGTTCTCCAAACCACAATTTCAGTCACTTGTAAAGGCAATTTAGTAGTTCTGAGTCTCCTTGAGTAGTGTATAAAACACTCGGTGCATAATAGGCATTCAAGGAAAACCAGCAATTATTATTAATCAGATGATTTGGCTGAAGGCTTCACAGAATACAAATTAATCTCCTGTCATTCTCTGCATGTAAAAATAATGGATGTTTGACCTGAAAGGGCCAGAAAAAGAAGCTGGTTAAATATCAAAATCATCCCTTTACATTCAGAGACTTGCAAATCTCACTTTCTTGGTTGAAAAATAAAAACACATCTATCTTTGATGCTACATATCCTAATTCTATCTGAACTGTATTTTTAAAAAGCTGCCACATGATCCACTTGACACATGTTTATGACTACATATTCTAGAAGCAATTTCCATTTTGATGTGTTGTTTCACAGATTGTGTTACTAGTGAGTTAGGCAGAATGGAAAATAAGATATCAAATTGACATCTTGGCTAGATGAAAATACAGATTAATGGGGCAGGGGAATTCACTCAGCTCTGTGAGGACAGATACTGTAGGTTGAATAGTAATTTCATCAGAATATGCCAGAAGACACAGGCAAATTGCCAGGCTGGGATACAAGGAATGCGAATACATTGGCTTAGCTGTCACATGGATTGTCAAGTTTATTTTCCTCAGGAAATGGTCTTATGGGCTCATAAGTTGGAATGGAAGAAAGAGACGAATTCAAGGCCATCAGTCATATAAACAAGTTGGTCAGAAAGCCAGATGCCTAATAACACATTTGGTGTGCAAATCTACCAGAACAGACCTCTGCACAAAACTGTAAGTGGGCTCATCTTGGTTACTTTCAGAGTAGATGGAAAAGGAACTTGAGACAGGAATTTAAACATCTACATGTCATTTTGATTTTCACTTAGCTATTGTGATCTTAACAAGTTGTTCATTTTATATTTCATTTGTTGGGTGTGTAAAATGAGAATGTTTTCTTGATTTACAAAGTGGTGATAGAATTGAATAAAATAGATGAATGATCTTTGGAAAATATAAAGCATATGTGTTCTTATTATATATGTTTCTTAGGACTTCCTCCTCCCTCCCCTTCTTCCCTCTCCTCCTCCACCCTTCCCTTCCTCTTCTTCCTCCTCCTCCTCATGTGTATGTGTGCATGTCTGTGTAAATGTATGTGTGTGTGTGTGTGTGTGTGTGCATGTGCCATGGCACACATGTACAGGTCAGAGGACAACCTGAAGGAGCTGGTTGTCTCCTTCCACCATGTAGGTTCCAGGCATCAAATTCAGATCATCAGACCTGGCACCACTGTTGTGGAATATTGGTTTAAGATGTATTACATTTGTTTATGCTGTGGAATATTTGTTTAATGATATAAAGATGTATTGCATCCTTTTATGTTGCATTTGTTTAACTCTGTGAAGCTGTGTTACTTTGCTTGTCTAAAACACCTGAGTAGTCTAATAAAGAGCTGAACAGCCAATAGCTAGGCAGGAGAGAGAAACAGGTGGGGCTGTCAGGCAGAGTAAGGAATAGGAAGAGGAATCTAGGGAAGAGAGGGAGGAATGAAAGAAGGAGAAGGAGAGGAGGATGCCAGGGGCCAGCCACACAGCCAGCCATAGAGTAAGGAAGAAAGAAAGAATGTAGAATAAATAAAAATAAAAAGCCCAGAGGCAAGTTGTAGTTAAAGAGGAATGGGATAATTTAAATTAAAAAAAGCTGGCTAGAAACAAGCCAAGCTAAGGCTGGACATCCATAAGTAAGAATAAATCTCCTGCATTTATTTGAGAGCAAGGTGGCAAGCCCCCAAAGAATTAAAAAAAAACAAAAAACTATACATCATACTAGTCCCTCCTCTTCCCCTAGTGCAGTGGTTCTCAACCTGTGAGTTTTGACTTCTTTGGGAGTTGAATAACCCTTTCACAGGGGTAGAATATCAAATATCCTACATATCAGAAATTTATAGTACAATTCATAAAAAATTACATAGAAAAATTACAGTTATGAAGTAGCCATGAAAATAAATTTTATGGCTGGGGGTTACCACACCATGAGGAACTGTATTAAAGTACCTCAGCATTAAGAAGGTTGAGAGCCACTGACGACAGACTGAAATAAATTGTAAGAAGTTAATTCTCATGAGCACATTTCTTGGGCTAGTAATATAAATTAGGGTAATACTAGTATTGCTGATTTATCTGTTTTATGCATAGTTATTACTTGAAACAGAAAGGTCAAGTTCCTAGGGCTGTAAGACAGGCTTGTGTTGTTCACTATAGAAAATATGGACAACCCCACCGGTTAGAATTACAATACGTTGATATGAGTTGGTCCTGATTTCAAGTATTTTAAATATAGGATGTTTAGCAGTATTTCTTGTGCTTGAGAACTGAAAAGGGACCCAGTTCATTTGTTTAGTCTCCAGAACAGGATCTTTTTCATATTTGATGACTAAGGAGTGTGAGATACAGATGAGTCCAAATGATTCAAAAATAACTTGAAAAAACTCTGGAATTTAAGTCCAGGCTTGTCTAAATCCAAAGATTACTATGCCGTGTTTTATTTCCTACTGGCCTGTGAGGAAGTTTAAATTTTCCTTTCACTAACATAAAGTCAGAATTTGGGGTTGGCAAGATCTACACACCCTGACAGCCTTCTCTTCATTTCCAGTCACGAGTTACACTTGACTTTCACGGCATAACTGGCCCCATAAATTAGACTGGACCAGTTTGCTCAGGCAGAGTCCTGTCAAGACCACTCAGCCCAAGTGGGGGTGGGTCAGAGAACAGCTGGTCTGGGTGCTGTTTGTTGTTTTAATTCT